AATTGCGAAAAGCAAAATTTGCTAACTTTAAGGCGAACAGATAATATTTGTAATAAATTACACCAATGAAACCAACTGGAATCTTAAGACTATTGTCTGAAAATCTAAGCAAGACTATTATCGGCTCGAGAATTGAGCATAAATAGTCGACTTCTATCCAGAAACACTATATAGCGGAGTTTTAGGGCCTGAAAAGTGAAACGTGCATGCATGCGCGCTAAAACTCTCCTAACTCATCTAGAACATGTAAAATTGCGGGAAACGATGGCGTGTCGACGTGTTGATATTTTAAATCTGATTAACGTTCCTTTACCATTATGTTGCGAACGTTAAAATCTTTTAGCGAACGCGTTCACAAACTATTTTTAGTGGTCTGTACCTAATCAATGACGGCTAAACTAGGTAAATTTGCGCATGAACCTTTCAATATTATAGATTATACTTTTCCGAGCCACCGAATTGAGCCTGTATTATTCTATGGCTGAGACCCATTGGATATCGGTTAGTAGCTGTCTGAAAACTATAAGCGTATTAATGGCTGTTACAGTAGGCCCTCAACAGTTGAATACCATCCCCAAGCCAACAGTGATGATTAGTCGAAGCATAATGAAACTAGCCAAGTATTTAGCGAGACACAATGATGAACTGGCCGATCAAGCACTTTTTGGGATTCCCAGCATAAAATAACAACACCTGTTTCCTTACTGGGCCGCGCTCAGCCTGTCATTCCGCCAAATCTATATATGTTAATGAACATAATAGCCTGGGGTCCTCAGGTAACTGTTTCCAAACAGTTAATGTTAAAGATTATAAACTTACCGTTGCCTAATTCTGAGAACATGGAACGCACACGTGCCAATATGATTTTACGCGCGAATTACCCAGAATTAACTGAAACTGAATGCTGAAAGAGAATCTTATCAGTTATCGGCTATCGCGTCGCGCGGGGAATAATTTTGGTCACGTTCATCATTTTGTGTTCCCTTTTAAATACAATTACCAGTGCAGAGAGTGGTTTCAGAAACGCAAATTCAACTTGCAAAGATCAATTTACCTGGGTACGGTATAACCTCGCTCAGGCTTTTGCATTTATTAAGTTAAACACATTGATTTAACATTGAACATATTATGGCGATTAAAAATATGTCTATAGCAGATAGGGCGGAATGACAGGTTTAGCAACGCCCAGGAATTATAAGCAGCAAATTCTGCTACTGCTAGTGCTATCAAGGAGAATCAAAGCAAATATTATAGTGGTACCGTGGCATGTCCTGTGTCCATTCTTGGTCAGCGTTGTATAGGTTGCATGGATTAGGATAAGTTCCTGCTTGCTGTTGGCGTTGCTGCGGTGAGGCTGGCTGGAACAATTGTCGGAGAACTCTTTGGCTTCGTTCTCTCTTCACTTCTTTCTCCGCACAAAACTGTTTAATCCGTGGGAGGCCCTGTTTTAACGTTCCTTATGTTCCAAACGTTAAAATCTTTTAGCGAACGCGTTCACAAACTATTTTTAGTGAACGTTCCGTACGAATTCACTACAAGTACAACTAAGCTATAAGCTTATAAGGGCAAAATCATCGATTAGAGGCTTTTATCTTAAAGAGTGAACCGGAACGTGAAACAGATCCTATTGCACGGTGGAGAACCAAACTAGCAACTTTTCTATTATGAATACGTTCAGTAGGTGAAATTTATTGTCATTAATTTTTACCTGTCAGATACGTAAAATAACAAAGTAATCTCTCCGTTAGGCGTTCGGGTAGGAGAAATAAGCAAGCTGATAAGAGACAATAAAATTACAAACGTATGCAATTAGTGTGTGGCGTGAGGTATATTTACTTTAATTTTTAGTGCCGACTTTATGCTTTAGCTTCAATGATATCACCGCGCACCGTTAACATACTCATAGTCTGGACAGCACCCTTCTAAATCCGAAAAGTGTCATACTTGTAGTAAATATTTGGTAGAATTCGGTCCAGGACAAGCTATTAAATTTTTTGCTGCGCTCCGGTCTATCACAGCAGTTTTCCTAATACCGTAGAGAAGTTTTTTTTATTAACAAATAAAACTCGATTACTAGACTCCTAGCCTGATACGAACTAAATTAAAAATTGCTCATAATGAACTTATCATCTTATCATAAATAAAAATAAATGCTGTTAGCTGTGAGCTTTTGCTGGTCCCATGAATATAATTCAATGGATATGATATAATATAAATATTCATATACTTGCACATTTACGAGTCTTCTGAATCTATTATATTACATAATACACGACTTCTCATTTCATAATTCATATCAAACATTTATATACTCATGCAGCGAGAACAAAATATTTAGTGTCGAAACTAACACAAGCAGTCATATTGCCGTGTTGTAAAACGGCCGACCGTTTACTACAAGTTAAGTCAAGTCAAATCAAATCAAAACATAGTTTTAAAAAACGTATACGCTATCTGCAACATTTGACATCTAGCACAACGTGCACAGTCTGGTTTAGTCAACAATGTTACCTGGGAACCTCAGGCTATCATGTTCATTAATGAATAGAGATTCGGCGGAATGACAGGCTGAGCGCTGCCCAATAATCAACAATGCAGCTCTAAACGCTGCGGACTTGCTATTATAAAAATTGATGAGCGCTCGATTTGAAATCCCGACGCGCATAAAAACTGCCACTAACTGCTACTAACTGCCACTAACTGCCACTAACTGCCACTAACTGCTACTGTCGCGCGCAAATGCGTGGGCGCGATTGTAGCAGTTAGTGGCAGTTAGTGGCAGTTAGTGGCAGTTTGTAGCAGTTAGTGGCAGTTTGTGGCAGTTAGTGGCAGTTTGTGGCAGTTAGTGGCAGTTTGTGGCAGTTAGTGGCAGTTTGTAGCAGTTAGTGACAGTTTCTTTGCACTTAGCTCCTCCTGTGATAGGTTTAGGTGGAGATCTGAGGATGAACTCTTGGTCTGTTACAACCTCGACGTGATCTGATACGTCAATTTTATCTGAGTTTATTACAACCCAAAGGCCATTTCCACTACTGAATTTTCGCGGTCCCGTGGTGGGCTCTTTTACCATAGGTGTGTTTATTGTCAATAATGGTTCTCTGGACCCTTTTGGCCCTAAGAGCAGCTTGCACAAGTTCTGGGATTTCAGCAATTCGCACTTTCATTAAATTTATTTCATCTTTCATCTCAGTCAGCTGCAGTAGAGTTCCTTGTTTGACTTCTATAGTTTGCAGCAGAGTGTCCATCTGGCTTCTGAGCTCAGTTAACTCTGTCTGACAGAGACACACGCTCGTTTCCTGGCCCGCAGAATTGCGGTATTTACTGATCTTTGAATTTGCCTACTTTCTAATTATATTAAAGTATTAAAGATGAACGATGAGATATGTTGTTATGGTAATGCTGGATAAACTGAATGAAGAGATAGCATCACGGGCTCAAAAGTAGTGTCGAGAGCAAAGATTCGATCACGCAACTGATTAAATAAGTCATCACGTACTGTATATTTTTTATACAGCATATGGGGACCTGTTTACATGATAGGCTAGCAATATGATAATGATGTTAAAGCTTTATAACTGAGTTTAAGAATGATCCAATTTATTATATTTCATTACTTAAATCAGTTTAAGTTCCGCCTTTGACAACAGTGTTATATTTTAAATTTTGTGGATAGAGACCGTTGCTTTGACAACATTTGACATACCAGAGCAAACATTTTCTTGGTTGCTGTTCGACTGATGTCATCGAAAATTTTTAATTTTTAATGAATTTAACTTCCTTTTTATTCAAGCATTCCAAACTCTAGATCTACATTATTGCATTTCCTTTGTTGCGATATCCGATTCTATTGAAGAAATTTGTAGATATATAACAGGCCCAACGTTCGACAAATTGAGTAGATCATTGTGTACATAACACTGAGCTACCTGGTACCTGTTAGTTGTACGTCACACATCATACGATTAAGATATCGTACAAATACTCTGCCGTATAAATTTCCAAGGACTTAGGATTCCTATATGGCTAATGCCTGAATCCTGATGTTGTGATAACTCAATCTCCGTCAGACTGTAAGGTCCCTACTGTAACTAGGACCTGATTTTACAGGACAGTTGTTTAATTCTTTTAGCTGGTTTAACGCTCATGCCGTCCTTTAGTAGTCCGTGTTTTTATTTTCGCTATTTAAAAGACGCTATTTTGTTACATGTACATATTTTGTTTTGACCCACAACACGACCGTTCAGACGACTATGAGATCATTCATCGATAATCGTTATTCTTGATTAGGTATCATATCAACGAAGAACAACTTTCTGACATCCAACAATTAATTAGTTGCTAATTCAAATACATTGATAAACTAATACCACTCTGTTCAGATTGATCGATTAGTATGAAAACACGGCTTTCCAAATTCATCTCACAATGACAACTCCTAAACTAGTTTTTATAACAGATCAGAAAAATCAAGCATCGTGTCACGATTGCAGACGTGCAATGTTTTATGAAACGTATCACACTCACAGCCGATCACATACAATTACAAACTCGTGCTTGCTTAAAGTGAGAACGTCCATAAACGTTACTTTTCTTTTGCCTTTTCGCGATCGCATCGTCACTTTTGCTTTTCAGTTAATTAGGCAGATATAAACTATTTTGCACTCATATGTTAGTATCTTTTTATCCAAAGCTTGATTAACTTTCAAATGTTTCGTTTTCGAGGGCTCAAGTGCGCTCTACAGTTGCCCAATAATTTGTCTGTACGTGACTTGAAACATGACGTTATGAATTAAAGTATATTTCTTTTCCTAAAGCGGAACTTTGAAGGAAATGGCGGGAAAATGTTGGTTTCTGTGCCCTGAATTCGAAATTGATCCAGGGCACAAAAAATAAAATGTTCCCGGCTTTCCGTCGACAGTGATGAAGGAAATTAGGGCGGGAACATTTAAGCATGCATATTATATTTTATGGTGATAATAATATTAATATTATAAATATATACTTATAACATATTACGTGTCGTAGATTTGTACTCGATATTATTTCTGATTGGTGTTTTATCACAGTTTCTGTTGAACAAGTGTTGATCTTATGACGTTAGGCAGAGTGAGTGGTTTGATTCTCGGGGTAAGTTCCTTTCTTCAGATTCAATATTCGTATAATTTCCTGTAAACTGCTGATAGCTGTATAGAATTTAATTTTGCCAGCCCTGATTTTGTGGCAAGCAGTAACATATTGTTCAGCCAACTAGCCAAGTTTAGCTTCAAAGCAAATTGTGAAAATCAAACAGAGGTGCAAGTTCTAAAAATTATGCCACAGATTTGAATTCTGTCTACAATTATTTTATCTCAGGTCCTATTGCTGGGGCTCTGTCAGAGTGAAGATGCCGCTAGGCCCAAACCTATAATAGGTGAGGAAACAATAAACTATTTCTGTCAGTGATTACCCAGTTCTTTAGTTTCCTTGTTTGATTTTGAACCCTTTCATACTTCCAATGTTTTAAATTGAGTTCAGGTATCAATATTACTATATTACTTTCTAATAAACAACTTCTTCTACCGACAAGAAAATTCACAAGAATGCTCGAACATAGTGAACTGTATCGTTGACCCATGCCAAGTAAGCGCCGAGTGTCCCGGATATCCCGACGCGAAATGTGTAGCCAGCTACTGCGGGGGATGTTACACTCGTTTTGTGGACTCCAGTGGCAATGTTATTGAAGAGTGCTCCCACCAGCCTAACCAACGATGTGAAGGAGGACAGAAGTGGAATAAGTGTGGTAGTCCTTGTACCAAGTCCTGTGATGCTCCTAATCCTCTTTGCACGGAGGTTTGCGAGGCTAAGTGCGAGTGTCCCCCAACCAAACCTATTTGGAGAGATGGAAAATGTATTACTGAGGAAATGTGCCTGGAACCTCCTCCTCCTCCTGCAAAAGGTATTTGAAGCCCAATCCTTTTTACTGTCTTATCTAATTTTAAGCTTTATTTAATAGTTAGTGAAGCTTAATTTTAAGGGGGGGGGGGGGGGGGGGGGACAATGGATATTTTTTTGTGAAACTTGATTTCGAGATAGCAGTTGACCAACAAACTAAAACCAGTGACCGAACTTTTGAGGGGGTCCCGGACCCCAACCGCCAAACGGTGCCTGCGGGGCAGCCACGCCCATATTTGGTCCAAAGTAAAACAAATTTTTTTTTAGTAAAACAAATTTTATTTTATACCCACAATCAATTCATATTTAGTTCAAATATTTAAAGTCAAAGTAACCATTTCACATAAGTGGTTATATTATAATAAAATAATTTGTGATAAATTAATAAATTAATTTACACTCAAAAATGAACAAAATATACACAATTTTTTCCTAGTGCAACACTGGTTCAGCGCGCGGCTGATCGAAAAAGTTTGATTTGATTTACTAACTACAGTGTACAGCGTACATGAAAAAATTACTTACTGAATCTATTAATACTAGACACATTTAATTCAGATGTTGTTCAATGAGTTAGCCACAAAAATGTTCAAATTATGTAGGAGGGTAAAGGACACAATTGCTAGTAGTGCTTCTTTGTGCCCGTTGACTACAATGAACATTTTGCGGAGTTTCTCCAGACGGCTTTTATTGGAGTGCGTGTTATTTACTTGGTTATGCACAAGCCAGGCCAACATTTTGTTTTTGTGTCAGCCGTGCTACCAGGTTGCAGAGTATTATAAACACTAAACAATTATACACTATACAAATTTGCTAATACAATATCATGCAGAGTCCGATCTAGCTGCAAACGTCAGACACCACAGTTCAGCCGCCAAGTACCGTTTAAGTGAACACCGAAACACGAGGTTTAGGTGTCATTTTGTAAATCACTTTATGGATGGATAATTCAGTAATTGTTGAAGAAAATTACAGTCACTGCCACCTATAGCGTTATGTCATGGGTCTGATTAACGGTCAAGAATAAACGTACGTGCGCGCTTAAGAAACCCGCGCAAATGTTGAGGTAGGGAGTAGCTGCGGCGCGCTTTTAACATATATTACGTATAGCGCCGTACGGAAACGGCAATATTTAAGTATTTAAGTATTTGTTTACATAAATTCCACGTTTTTATCAATAATCTAGCATGGTCCAAAACTGTTAAAGTTGTCATTATGCCACTCATTATCGAACCTGCTTTGGGCATCTAGAAGAGATCGGTTTAGCCTTGATTTGATTGAGTTACAGGATGTGTTCACAAAGTCAGGTTTATTCTGTGGATTGGAGTCCTTGAATTGATTCCAAAGCCAAGAAGATTTATAAATAAAGTTATGGCTTGGCTTTGGTGGTATTAGACGGTCATCCCTCAGTTCAGACATGTTAAGTAAAGAGTAGAGAGATATGTAGTAGAGGCTCTTACGGGCAAAAAGACGTGTTTTCTGCTACGAGTTTAGAGACCTAACCGCTAATTGGACACAATAGTATGATGTCTAAGGATCGATAATATGTTAAGAAGTATAAATTTGGCCTTATTAGTCACGTGCTATACCAATGCGCGTTTTAAACTTTGACAGTCTATTACTCTAAGGCAAATAAAGTAATTATATCCATATTTTGTCAGCAATAAGATCACATTATTTTCTATTTAGTGTGAAAATATGAGCTAGAACGGACATAATCTCGCTGAGTTATAGCTGTTTGAAATTTATGATGAACGCGCGGGTGCCAATTGATAACAACTAAATGCTTTTGCGCGTAGTGCGCGTCGAAAATTTGGCAAAAACGCTTGCGGAGTGACAATATTCAAACTTCGATTAAGTATATGAAGTGGGTACTTCTCGGAAAGGAAAAATTTAGGCAAACACGATGTGACTATTTTTGGGTTGATTTAATACAACTGCAAAAAATTATTCAAACTTAAAGCAAAAAAGTCAAAATTTTTACCACTTTTTTGGATTTTTACCTCAGAACAAATAGAGGGATTTGTTTTATTTTTATACAATCTTGTGCGGCTGTCTTTTAGCTATCTTTATGCAAGTTTTGCCGACATGCCAACAAAATTAACTTGCTCAAAATATCAAAAAACATGGTTTTTTGGCCTATTTTTGGCCCAAAAATCGGTTTTTTTGCGATTTTACCCCAGAACAATCAGTCCAATCATCTTGAAACCACTTTCAATCGATTCTACGGTCAAAAATACGTCTAGTAAGGTGTATCTGGGGTCCCTAACGTATCGAGCAGACAATGCCCGTAAGAGCCTCTACTAATGGGTACCCTATATTTCACTATTTTAAAAAGTTCAGTTATAGTACGAAGTTTGTAAAGATTGTGAACAGTAAGGAGTTTATGACTGTTAAATAATGGTTTGGTTGATTCCTTGGAATAGAATTCAGCTCCTAGTTTTTGACAACATAAGGGTCTAACAAGTTTATTATGAACTACCGATTTAGAGCGGACACACTTTGCACATGGTTTAATACGTGGATTAACAGAGTTATTAACATTAGACTCAAATTAGGCCCAATTAAGCCAAATACCCTGAACATACCCAAAACCCAGATTTTAGGTGCTCTACTTGTAGCTAGTGGTCTCTTGAACTCGTATATGAAATTTCATCAAGATTGGACAAAAATGACTGAGTTATGGGCCAAAAACCATATGCCCATATTTGGGCATACGCACCAAATTTGGTAGATTTCGTCCCATAAATTGGGCAAATATCAATATTTTTGAATGAAACTTACTTTATAAGAAAGGTAAGCCTAAACTACATATTCTCTGTAAGTTATAGCTTTATATCTGTTTAAATGTGGATACTAAGGCGAAAAAACCTCAAAAAAAATTTGGCGGCCAAATTCTGAATTTGTCCGGGAAAATATTGGAATTTGGCCGCCAATTGTTTTTGGAGGCCTAAATCAAAAATCTGTTCTCAAAATAAGGTGGAAATGCGATTTCGAGTCGATTCCGAAAATTTCATGCAAAAATTTTGAAAACTGATTGAGTTATTACAATTTTAATGAGATCAATTCCGCGAATATCGCGAACCAAGATACAGGCAATTTAGTTTATTTTTTGTGGTTTTTTCGCCTTAGTATCCACATTTAAACAGATATAAAGCTATAACTTACAGAGAATATGTATAGTTTAGGCTTACCTTTCTTATAAAGTAAGTTTCATTCAAAAATATTGATATTTGCCCAATTTATGGGACGAAATCTACCAAATTTGGTGCGTATGCCCAAATATGGGCATATGGTTTTTGGCCCATAACTCAGTCATTTTTTCTCCAATCTTGATGAAATTTCATATACGAGTTCAAGAGACCACTAGCTACAAGTAGAGCACCTAAAATCTGGGTTTTGGGCATGTTCAGGGTATTTGGCTAAATTGGGCCTAATTTGGAACAAATATGGGCGTGGCTGCCCCGCGGGCACCGTTTGGCGGTTGGGGTCCGGGACCCCCTCAAAAGTTCGGTCACTGGTCCTAGTTTGTTGGTCAATTGCTATCTCGAAATCAAGTTTCACAAAAAAACATCCATTGTCCCCCCCCCCCCCCCCCCCCCACCGATTACTGGGCCAAAATTATTAATATTATTGTAAAGTTAAACTAACTCTTTTGTATAATGTACTAGAAACCCGCTAGTAGAAAGCTTTGTTCGAGGAAATTTTAAAAATCAGTTATGTTTTAATTTCTCTTCATCATATAGCTCTGTTATACTGTAGACATAATGGAATTTATCTAACAATGGCGACAGCGTTGTTAGTATTCGGATTCCCAAAACGATGCTTTTTACCGCATCAAAAAATACCAATCACAACCAAAGTTATGAATATAAGTCATAGCGTGAGCGTAAATGTGAGCTAGTTTGGATGATGATTAATCACTCTACACTCGACTGTCACGTGACTTTTTCAACCCTTTCTCTAGCTGGTTCTGAACGACTTTTCGAAACCCTAACCCTCTAATCTGATCCCAACCCTAACCCTAACCCAATCCTTAACAAAAACATATGCTGAAACCCTAACCCTAACGCGAAATTAGACTAACTTCCTTATACGGTCATATCACGTGATCGAGACAGTTTTTCGCCAATATCTCGTCAGGGGAGCATTTTAACCCTATGTCATGGGGGGTGATTCGGAATCAGCGTCCGAAAATACATCGATCGAAGTTGGTTACAACCGTCGGGGGCCCTTTTAGAACAATCTCGAAGATCGACTGTAGAGTGATTTAGCACGCTCGAGCTAGTTTTGAAATTATGACGTAGCATACAGCATAACAACGCGCGTAGTTAAGATGTTCTTGCTCGCGCACGTGCACTTTAACTAGGTAGTGCGCCATCGACAGTGAGCCGCGCGTGCCGACTGTAGGATGGTTTTTTAGCGCTAATTTCGGCCAGCACAATTTTCTTCAAACAAATAAATATTGAGTATCCTTCCCGACCTCCAATTGCAACAAAAATTGGTAAGCTTACTCATAAACTTACAAGGAAAGTGTCCCAAAAATTTAAAGCATATCCAATTAACAGAAACTATGTTACAGCTAAAAGCAGCGTATTTTGCCCCATTTTGATCACTATATCAACTCCGATATCCACCAAATTTTTCGGACAGTTGTAAAAGCCCTATTGGAAGGTCGTCGCCAATTTTCAGAATGATCTCATTTAAGGAACTGAAGATAAATCCGAATAATACGACAAAAATGGTCAAATTTGGACGAATTTGGTCAAATTACGCGACTTTTACAGCTACTTTTGCTCCAAAAGCCGCGCACCATCAAATATGGCACTGATCTTTCCAAAAAGGTATGACAAATTTGGTATTGTGAAAATTCTCACAGTCTCTAGAAAACACTGGTACAAAAATTTTTAAAATCCGAGCAAGTTTATTTTTATCGTGCACCTCCTACTTTAACGTTTCTACGCAACAGCGCAGTAAACCTTTGCTAAAATAACGCCATTATTCTAACGATTATTTAACCTCACTTCCGACGTTAATTATAAAAAATCTAAAGCCTAAATCAAAATTCTAAGAATGCTATAGCCTATTCCTATCCTTTTTCTACAACCCTGCTAAAAATGGCGAGGTTTCAACTCCATTTGCGAGCTGGGTTTGATTTCACCAGAGGGTCATTTTGAGGTCGATTTTCGGTGTTTTTTCTTCTATGTCCCCGTTGCCGGGGAAATTTCGTCAAGTTTAAATTATAATATAGATATATACTTTTTGACTTTGGGTAAATTTATTTTTTTAATTGGGTTAGACATTTCAATTGTAATTTGATTTTTGAATCGTTTAACCCGTTTAATCCTTTTAACTGGCCATATTGTCATAAGTTCAAATGTCCCAAGGGCTGTTCTTGGACATTTCGGAAGATGTTCCGCTCCAACATTAATATCAAAATTCTACCAGAGTGCAAGAGTAACCTTGAATACAATGATTGTGGCAGTGCATGTGTCCGACCTTGGCGCACTTGTAGTCATAAGGAAGACACTGAAGCGTTCTCTATAGCTGAGAGTGGGAAAAAGGAGAATAATCTCGACTGTCCTGCTGTCTGTGTAGGAAGATGTGAGTGTCCTAAAGATGCTCCTGTCCTTCATAACCGTGTTTGCATTCCTGAATCTTCTTGTCCAGAGGAACCTGGTAAGTCAATCTTTTTAAGCAGGTTTATGGAATGATATTGAACCTGATGCGACAACCATTTTCCATACATGAAATTTAATAAAAATCGTTGAAATAACTCTAGATTAATAACCAGATCAAAAATGTTTTAAAATTAAATGTATCATGTTTTACACCTCTCTTCGCCAGAGGAGTGCAAGGATTGGATACCTAAGTGTCCCGTCAACCCCTGTGAACAACACGAATGCTCCTCAAACTCGGACGCAACCTGTAAGCCCTACTACTGTGGAGGCTGTTTCGCTAACTTCTTCGACGGCGAGGAAGTCGTCGAAGAGTGCAGCGCAAGTAAAGAAACTTGTAGTGGTGGCCAGGAATGGAGCGAATGTGGGCTGGCTTGTCTGAAGACTTGCAACGACCCTGATCCGGTCTGCACCAAGAACTGTGTGCCCAGGTGTCAGTGTCCTGCTGACAAACCTATCTGGAAGGAGGGAGAGTGCGTGGCAGTGAGCCAATGTGACTCAAGTCAGTGTAAGAGCAACCTGGTGTTCAACGAGTGTGGAAGTGCTTGTACTCCATCTTGTAGGGATCCCAATCCAATGTGTACAGAGCAGTGTGTACCGAGGTGTGAGTGCCCCAAGGAACTACCTATATTCCATCAACGTGTTTGTACTATGGAGGAGAAGTGCCCGGAGATACCTGAACCTGGTTCGTTAATTTTTCTACACGTTTTAATCAGCTAAACTCATCCTTAGAAATGTTATTGTTCTTCATTTTGTCGATGAATCCCACATCATGATCATAGTCAGTCTATTAAAACCTTCCTATTTCAGAGTGCAAAGGAGGAATGGTATTTGAGGAGTGTGCGAGCAAGTGCACCCCAACATGTGCTGAACCCGACCCATTCTGCACGTTCGAGTGCGTGGCTAAGTGTACATGTCCTCCAAATACTCCTATTCTTCACAATGGGGAGTGTATGCCAGCCAACGAGTGCCCTGAGACGCCAGGTAAATAACTTTAGAGGTTTAGTTTAAAAGATGGTTTCTCCAAGATTGTAGAATTTAGTTTGGATGGTATTATATATTCTGCTCGTGTGTTCAAGAGTGAGCGGATACGAATAAGAACTTGGAAGCCTATTCGATTCCTAGTTAAATGAAATATATGATACTCGAATGGCGCCTAATCAGGTCCTAAAATCATAGTGGAAAACTTAATATATGACGATTTATTAAGTTTTAAATTTTTAAAGGTATTTGGTTTCTAATCATAAGTCGGGTTCAGAGATCCAATATCTGAAGTAAATTTATTCATCAGTCAAGATTCACTTATTACGAACCTCAGCTCCCGATTAAATATGTAGTATAGTTAAGTTTGAGATCCGGTATCAAAACGTGACCACAGACATGGTGGAATGTCTTCAGAATTAACACAGGGTTGAAATGATAATAAGATAATAGGAGTCAAATATCCTGACTAATGACTTCTCTCACGTCAACATTGTGTCTGGCTCATCTTGTTCCAACGAACCTAAACATTGAACCAAAACCCTCATATTCAGAATGCGAAGGAGGGACAGTGTGGAACACGTGCGGTATGAGCTGTACTATCACATGTGACGACCCCCGACCAATGTGCACCAAGGAATGTGTGGAGAAGTGTCAATGTCCTCGGTCCAGTCCCTTCCTGCACGAGGGACAGTGTATACCTAAGGACCGGTGCCCTGCTAAAGGTTTGGAAACACTTCTTTTCACAGTTTAATTGAAAAAGATGAGGCAATCACCCTGAACTTCATCATTTTTAGGGAAACTGTTTTGTGTGAACAATAGGCTTCATTTCACTGTAAAAGTCAATTATAGGTCAATGTGAACACGATGGAAACGTGTATGATGTGGGAGATGAGTGGAATACAGACCCATGTACTTTTTGCTCTTGTATGCAGAATGAAGGTAATGGACGTTCACTGTTAGGAATTAATTTCTATCTGATATTTTCACCAAAGATTTGACCAGTTTCAAAACAAATTATTGCTATTTATTTTTCACTCTGAGATTAAAGGCAATAACAACAAGTTTAATTAAATCTTCAGAAACAGGCGAGAAGATTGAAATGTGTGCCTCTGTTAAATGCGCATTCCCGATCTGTGAAACAGAGGTCATCTATCCAAAGGACCAGTGTTGCCCTATATGTGAGTTCCTGTGATTTCTAAAGTGATTTAATAATAATACATTGATCCCTGTATATGACTACATTTAAGTATTGACTAAGGCGTCTAATCGCACCGATTATTAAACATGTGACCACAAATTTTCATCAAGTTTAACCGTTCAGGTGCTAATCCGTGCAGTGTCAAAACAAGTGAGGGAGAAATTAAAGTATATGAAGCAGGAGACGAGTGGAGCCCAGACCCGTGCACAACTTGCCACTGTGTTGAAACAGGTACTGTGATTAACCTGGGGACCTCAGGCTTTTCTGTTCATGAACAGATTGAAGATTCGGCGGAATGACAGGCTGAGCACCGCCCAGTAAACTGTGATTAACATATCGTTCCTCATGTCTTATGTCGAAATTCCATCAATCAAATCTCAGACTGTTCTCAGTTTTAAAAAGGTTTATCCTTCAACAAAATGCGCCCTTAATACCAAAACATGCACTCAGGCGACGGTAAGATGGAGCAGATGTGTGCTAAGATCTACTGTGACATCCCCATTTGTGAGACAGGAGAACTCAAATGGAGTAAAGATGCTTGTTGTCCTTCTTGTAAGTTTAGAAATAAAGATCGGGTTCAAAATATTTTCAGCAATTCTGCTTTTAGTGTGGAAGATTCAGTCGTTGGTTAAAATAAATCAGTGTGTAACCCTGATAAAAATAGGTGCTGACGAGTGTACACACAGAGGAACAGGATACGAGATCGGTGACTCCTGGAAACCGGACGACTGTACCTCTTGCCAATGTTATGAGGAAGATGGTTAGTGGTTTCAAGAGACGTTGTTCTGTTAGGAGATCCTTACCTTGAGCCTAGTATTTAGTTTTCATGATTTAATATCCATATGTGGTTATCATGCGTTTAATGATCCCTAGCAATGTTTGAACGATGATAAATGCCGCTTGGACGTATAATTATTTGTTTGTATTTCTAAAATATATTTGTACTGACGTTTTGTAATAAGAAGAGCAATCTCTTACTCCCTTTAATCTAATTCTCTTCAGGAGAGAAGAAGCAGATGTGTGCCATGATGAGTTGCATGCTTCCTGGACCTAACTGTAAACCCTATTATGTGCCTGGAGAATGTTGTCCAAGATGCGAGGACGACTGTTCATTAGTGGATTGTGCCAGCACCGACGGTTGCCTCTGGGAAGTAGTACAGCTGAAAGGAGATTGCTGCCCACTTTGTCTGAAACCTTGTTACTCAGTCGAGGATGGAGAGCTGATTTTCCACAAGGAGAACGAGCCGTGGCAAGATACTCCGTGCCGTACTTGCACCTGTGTCCGAGATGGTAGGTAGATGTTTTCTGTACTCTAGGTTGGGAGCTATGTGACGTCATAGTGCTTTACTTCACGCTCATAGATAAATTAGCTGTGACGTCATGGGGCGTGTTTTGAGTCATACCATGAGAAGTTGATAAATTGTAAACATATTGTTATGGTCGATAACACTTTTATATTGATAGTTGACGATCGCTAAAGCCGGCAAAACTAATAATATCATCGATACGCCTCAAATATCGAAATTATATCCAAAGTTGGTACAACGTTTTACACCAAGTTTCCTTAATAACCAAATCTCCAGAGAAAACGGGCTACAGAAACGAGTGTATGGAGATTGCGTGTAGCATACCAATTTGTGGACCAGAATCAGAAGTTATTTATGACGATAAGACAACGTGCTGTCCGTATTGTGAGTAAAACCTTCAAAATACCTTCACTGTATTTCGTATAGCTTGTCAAAATCGAAAGTAAAACCTTGGAAGAGAGCTAAATGCGGCCTTTAATATATTAGCCAAGTATATATTAATATATGTATATGAGAGAGAGGGCGGTACAGGTTTATAGTTTAAATAGTTTTATATAATAGTATTATCATATTATAGTTGTACATATTTTTACAAATATCTGCAATCCTACCGCTATATTAACCAAGCTTATAATGGCAGGTTCTGATCCGTGCTCACTTGGGAATGAAACCTACGATATAGGGCAGTCTTGGAAACCAGACCGTTGTATGAGTTGCGAATGTATCGAGGGAGAAGGTATACAATACACATTTTAAGAACAACATATTTTTCCATGAAATAATTGCCTTTTCAATGTTCTATCATTGTTCTGTGGACATTACTTACTTGTACTTGATTAGGTCTCCTCAATCATTCGAGTGGCCTGCACCAATGAACTCCCGTTTGTGGCGTATCATCTCCCTCCAAAGTTTGCGGTCACTAGCCATCTCGCTCGCTCCTTCTAGGTCTATGTCAGTGTTTCCTGTAAACGCTGCAGCATCTTCCAGCAAACATATTCTCCAGTTCTTTCTTGGACGGCTCCTAGATCTTCTCCCATGGGCAGGGGTCCAATTAAGCAGGTACTTAGGAAGCCTAGTGTCTGGCATTCTGGTGACATGGCAAAACCAACGCAGGCGGTTTGCTCCTATGTACGTCTCTACTGGATTTATCTTTGCACGCTCCAGCACTTCAGTGTTTCTAACCCGATCGAGCCATCTTATCCTAAGTATTCTCCTCAAGCTACGCTGATGGAACACCTCAAAGCGATGTAGCTGCTTTTTGGTTGTGTTCCAAACCTCACTACCATATAACAATATTGTCAAAACCGCTGCCTTATAAATCCTGATCTTTGTATAAGACTGGATGTTGCGGTTTTTCCATATATTACTCAGTTGATTGAAGGCTCCGGAAGCTTTCTGAATCCTAGCTGACAGCTCACGGTCGATAGTACCGTCGCTGGATATAATTGTACCTAAGTACGTAAAGTCACTAACTTGCTGCACTGGCGTGTCTTCAACAGTGATGTTCACTGTGGCTTCTTTCGTGTATGGCCGTTGAGAGGTTGCTTTACCAATGACCATAGCCTCAGTCTTTTTACCATTGATTCTTAGACCTCCCTGGGTACCATACATACACAAAAGGTCAGTCGTTTCTTGAAGACCTTCCTCGCTGTTATCCAGTACAGCCATGTCATCTGCATAATCTGTATCTAACACAGTGATATCATCAACAAGCGGACTGATAGATCTTTGAAGAACCGCTCCATGGGACACCACTTTGTTGCTTTCTGTTCTCTCAGCAGCCATATTGAGGCAGACATTAAAAAGTGGGGGACCCTGAATGTCTCCTTGGCCACTGCCTGAACTTACTTCAAACCATTCTGATAGTTCACCATTGTGTCTAACAGCACTAACAGTTCCATTAAAGAATGCCTGTATTATTCGAATGTATTTACATGGCAGGCCATAATGACTGAAAGCTTTCCAAATATAATTCCTGTCAATGGAATCAAAAGCTGCCTTGAAGTCCACAAAATTTACATACAGGGGGATATTATATTCAATGCAGTTATGTATAATAGTGCGGAGTGAATAAAGCTGATCAATGCATGATCTGTTCTTTCTAAACCCACACTGATTGTCTCGTAGCAAACTTTCTAAACCGTCACTCATGCGTTGTAAAATGATGATTTGATACAGTTTAGATGCTGTATATCTTAGAGTGATCCCCCTATTATTGGAGCAATGAGAGGTATCACCCTTCTTTGGTACAATTATCACGATGCCTTTCAACCAGTCGTCAGGCACTGCTTCTGAATTCCAAACTTTAGAGAACAATTTCTCCATCCTATCCACAAGACCACTTGCCCCATACTTTAACTGCTCATTAGAGATTTCGTCGATCCCAGCGCTTTTGTGGTTCTTTAATTTTTTGAGACAGTTTAAAATCTCAAGTCTAGTGGGGGGACCATCACCATTACCAAGATAAGGAAAGCATGGAACCACTTCAAGATGGTCCAGGTCAGACAGATCCGCATTCGTGGGAGGAGGGTTTAATAGCTCCGAAAAATGTTCTCCCCATCTCTCTCTCTGAGCAGAGGGATCAGCAATCAACTTCCCGGATTTGTCTCTTACAGCAGTTGATTTTCGATTCTTCTTACCGGACAGTGTTTTTATCCGTTGCCATACTTCCCTTTGCCGGCCATGGACAGCAGCTGTTTCCAGATCTGCTGCAACTCTAAGAGCCCAATTCTTGTCGTCTTTGTGGACATTAGATAATTTAAATTTACAGATATCAAGCGGAGAAACTTTTTATGGCTGTTTGTTGCTATTTATCTTGACCGGTTGATGTTTTTCATAATTGGTGTTAGTAAGGGTTGTTTACCTTTTTTGATGTTTTTGTTGATGCACTAGTGTATTGCCGGAATGAAATTATTATAATATACTGACCGGTTTCCCTTCAGGAGGCATTAAACAGAAGATTTGCATGGCCATGGACTGTGCGCAACCCGAGGAAGGTTGCGAATTTGTCTATTCTGAAGACGCCTGCTGTCCCATCTGTGAGACTTTCTTTGAATAACATATTCAATTACCATCTATATTAATCATTCATTGTGAAGTTGATCCAATAATCACGACAAATTGCAGATACAATTAATAATTTAAGAATTTAGTTCAGTAATGGTAATAAGAATAAATACTTTTAGCCTTCTTCTAAAACTTCGTGTTCAATATAAAGTTACAATATTTTAATAATATCAAATCAAATTTTAATCAAAAATGTAGATCAAATTATAAATTCCACCCATATGCAGGTCAGAAGCCGTGTGAGATGTATGACGGAGGTAAAACTATCGAGTACCAGCCTGGTGACGAGTGGAAACCAGACGCTTGTACTTTCTGCTACTGTGGACTCAACGGTAACTTTATTCTCACGTTTGTGATAATTTTAAAGATATTGTATACCAGAGTTTTAGAAAACATCTTGCTGTTGGAACTTTGGAAGTTACAGGAACAAAACATTTTTCAAATATCCATATAAGGATATTTGAAAAATGTTTTGTATAAATAAATTGTATAAATACAATTTTATAAAGGGAAATTGTAACTAGTCGAAGGGGTTTCAGTACGACAGTCGAAATGAGGTTCAGTTAAGGAATATTAATAATGGCTGTAATCAGTTCTAAGCACTGTGATGGCACATATACAATCCCGTTCGGTTGTGGTTATTTGTCAGTGATAATATCAAAACGTCGCAAGCCCCTAAACAGATAATATTTAAAATATGCAGATAATATGCAAATCAGTCTATTTCCAGTGAGGGGGAGCTAAGGCCCTGAACTTGCCACGTCCCCCGAACTTTGGAAGCAAGCACTCTTCTACCCTCTTTATCGACTCCTCCCTCACCCACTTCTTTCCTGGTTCGGTCAGCTTTGTCTCCAGATTCATATACACTGGCACAAGGTATGAAGTTGCCAGAGCACTGTATTGTGCAGCTACTGTGTCGAGTGGCCGCCTGGTTAAGTTATCGTAGGAACCTCCTTGATCTGGGAATATGAGTTGTTTTCCCTTCCCCTCAATATCAACATATTCCTGCAGCTCTACTGAATCAAGGTCTCCGTATGCTAAGATTATCTTTCTGCCCCCATTTACATACCCATGTAAGGTAGGTCTAGCTTGCCGCCTTACAGCTATTTCTGCCAACTGAAGACAGACACAGTGTTTAAGATGAATCCCATAATGATGGTATAGGCATCAGAATCTGGTCTTGGGTCTAAAAAGATCTTCAGTACAGCTTCATCTTCTAGCATTTTCTTCAGACTTGTTTGACACTCCTTTGTATCTACTGATGTGGTAAAAACAGCCGAACCTAGCACCTGGGAAAAGAAAGGATGAAGTACGTTCGGCAAATTAGTACAATGGCACCGGCTATTATATTTATAGCCATAACAAAACACTTATATTTCGTATGAACAAATACTAATTCTAGTGTAATAATTACTGCATACTAATAAAACTTATATGCCATGCCTATTGTTTTGATAAAGTAAACTTACTTGCACATCGACCACATAAGTCGCATGGCTATTCCAACTGAGAGCAAGCAGAACCACAGTTCCGTCCCTTGAAGGTTCATCACCATCTACATTTACTGCAACCTGACTTGGATTTCCGTGATTGAGAAGCTGGACCATCTCTAGCAGCTCATTCTTGGTGGAGATTATCTTCACCTCTTTCCTGCTGATCTTCAGAGACATTCTGCTGCTGAATTAGTTAGACTAAGCTTAGACGTCATTTAAATTCTGCTATCAGTATGGAAAGAACAGAAATCAAAATAACGTGGACGGATAAAAACAACTTATATAAGCAAGCATGGAAAAATCAAAATGAAGGTCATGTGTGGGTTCGGCATGTGACCATTCGACATGTCTTCTCACGAAATTCGACCCCTGGCCCTCCTGATCTTCCATGAGACCTAAACCTCACTCTTAACACAAATATGCAGCACAATTAATTTCAGTAAATGAGTCATGGATATTAGCCGGTTCGTTTTCACTTTCAAGGCTAAACAAAAATCAAAACGCAACAAATCAACAACATGACGAGCTAATATCTCGCCGCATAGTTGTATATATATAAGGCAGCTGCATTCTGGTTCACGCGTTAGACAGCCATCGTGCCAGCCAAACGGGAAATTTCTTATCCACTGGAAGGCAGCTGCATTCACTCGTCAGCCAGCCATCGTGCCAGCCAAACGGGAAATTTCATATCCACTGTACCTTGAGTACATGTGCTGTTCCTGTTATCTGACACTCATATATTATAATTACACGGTTTAATTAATACACCAAGAGCGGGGGCGCGTCAAAATATTATGGCTAGCGTTTATCAACAAAAGTCTCAGGAGGAAATGAACCTACAGGATCTCTTTATGTAATTCACAGTTTCGCTCAATTACCTGCAGTACCACGATACTTTCATTATATCATTTACATGCGGTTATTATAGTTAACAGTAACTTTATAAATCTCAGTTAGTGAGACACTTTGACTTGTGAGAGGATCAGGAGCTACACTTGTTTCGCCTCTTTCTCGGAGTTTAGGTGTAAATATTATGTAGCCATATATAGTACTGTATGCATTTTTTAAAACGATCCTTATATTTGAGCAATTTAGCCGTTATAACTGCTCATGATTATTATTTTGGGCCGTTCATAGTTTTGGATGCCCAAAATTTGGACTGCTTATTGCTTTATTGTTTTCGATCCTAATTGTGTTAAGACAAAAGTGTCTACGGCACTCATTTCTTCTTCATTGATCGTTCATGATGTAACCGCGGCGAAATTCTGGTTTCTGATTGTTTTCCATTTATAGCTGGGCAGGAATAGACAAAAAGACAAAAGAATTCTATTCAATCTATTCTGTTGCAATATTTTGTTTTAAACTGATATTGATAAAAATATTTGTCAGTGATTTTTATAGTGGCGCTGGTGTTAAGTTTATAAGCCCACAACTACGACAAGCTACACTTTTTTAATAATTTACCCGTCAGCTGCCCTCTGCTCATATCAGAACCATCTTTAATCCAGGCTGCTCACAACTGTTTCCGAAAGAGGTTGATAAGTTAAGGGTAGTTGAAAACGATTACGGAAAATGTGGGCTTATAATTGAAAGTGATATTATTCAATGAACTCATGTCAGAAAGATTCCAATCCTGATCTTTTAAGGTTGGGCATCTATTAAGTCGATTATATGAGCTTATGAGTATTTTACGATAAACTTCCGGATCGTGATCAGTTTTGATGATAACCTGATGATTTTTTTACTTTCATAGTCTTTCTCTTATATTGTATTTTATACTGCAACGCGAGAACAGTACCTGTTCGTTTTAGAGTGACAATATGACGTTTTATAACACTATTATAATATATTTAATGTAAGCTTGGCTGATAGTCCATGGAAAGTTTATTAATGTGATTGATTGTGTGTTTGGGCCATTCATCATTTCAATAAAGCCAATGAAGCAATGATACTACACCAGATTCAGAAAAATACAATAAATAGATTCCAATTCGTCACAAACTTCGCAGCCTTTTATAAAATAGTTTCGTCTATCTTTATAAGCAGTCGTCATCAATAATCCAGCGGCCATGTTGAATGCCATTTACTAAAATTATTTGTTACATAGTAGTGTTGAAAGCATTAATCTATATTAATCTATAGTAGTGTTGAAAGTATTAATCTATATTAATCTATATTGTGGGGAAATTGGTAGATCACCGACCGGCTATAAGCCGGTTATAAGCCGGCTATAAACCGGCTTATAGCCGGCTACAATTTTTATAGCCGGCTATAAGCCGGCTTATAGCCGGTTAGTAGCCGCTTACATTTGTTGTTGAGCGACGGCTATTAGCCGGTTATAAGCCGGCTATTAGCCGTTTAGGTATCGGCTATAAGAAATTCAGTGAAAACGGCTATTAGCCGGTTATAAGCCGGCTATTAGCCGTTTAGGTATCGAAAGTGGTTATAAGCCGGTTACAAGATATTAACTCAACTTCATCGTACTGAACGATAGTCAGGAGCCGGCTATAAGAAATTCAGCGAAAACGGCTATTAGCCGGTTATAAGCCGGCTATTAGCCGTTTAGGTATCGAAAGTGGTTATAAGCCGGCTATAAGCCGGCTATAAGATATTAACTTAACTTCATCGTACTGAACTGAGTTAATATCTTATAACCGGCTTATAGCCGGCTTATAGCCGGCTTATAACCACTTTCGATACCTAAACAGCTAATAGCCGGCTTATAACCGGCTAATAGCCGTTTTCACTGAATTTCTTATAGCCGGCTCCTGACTATCGTTCAGTACGATGTAGTTGAGTTAATATCTTGTAACCGGCTTATAACCACTTTTAATACCAAAACGGCTAATAGCCGGCTTATAACCGGCTAATAGCCGTCGCTCAACAACAAATGTAAGCGGCTACTAACCGGCTATAAGCCGGCTTATAGCCGGCTATAAAAATTGTAGCCGGCTATAAGCCGGCTTATAGCCGGTTAGTAGCCGGCTTATAGCCGGTCGGTGATCTACCAACTGGCCATATTGTGTATTGATCTAACACACGCACGCCACAATAACGACATGAAAATAGGTGATTACAGTCATTTTCATTTTCTTTGTTTATTAATTACAACATCTCCGTCTAGTAGTAGTACTAGTACTGATTAACTAAATATCGTCAATTTTGCAAGAGCTTTGTTGTTATTTAATTAGTATGAACTTATGAACTGCTTCGTTGTAAAATAATAATATACAACTTTTAAAAATCTCCCTCTTTGCATTTGACCCGTTTAAACAATATAGTTATAATACAGTTTATGAAAGTTACAAGCACGATCCAGTTGTAAAACATTTTAAGTCAAATAACCGCCCCAGCAAAATTATTCAGCGTGCGTGTGTGATATTTTAAAATATTATGCTAACTGTACTTAAAAAATAAAACTGATAGTAGGTTAACGTTAGAATTAGCTATTGCCAGTATGTATTCACGTGATTTCGTGCTGCTTCTTTACAAGATTCTACAAAGGCAGCTTGACCTCATAGTCGTGTACGTCAAAATTAACGTTTATTATACTTGGGACAAGTTAATAAAGTCTGCGTGAGGATTTTCGATTTCAATTTCGTATTTTCATCGTGATTCTGTACAGCTATGGTTGTCCAACAATACAACGATTGTACGTAGTTATACAGTCGTAGGAGCCAACAGGCTTTTTAAGGCCAGTGACAGTAATTGAGGTCATACTATTAAATCCGATTAGCTTCCTCTATAAAAACTTTAAACTAATTCTGCAACTGCAAATAATTAAATTATTAAGCTATCGAATGTCTACTGTAGCTGACATTACCTGATGTGATTTGATG